AATTCTACAGAATTTTGAGTAAGAATATCAGATATTGTTAAACTTAGCAGTAGTAGATCTTTAAATCCCCAATTGTAAGATGTTCCATATATTATTTGTGATGATAAAGAGCTGAATGTTAAGCTGGGTTCCGTAGCTAGGAGATTGCTATTGCTTCCAACTACTCTAAAATCTTTCTCAAAAGTCATTATAAATCCAATATTATGGGTAAAAGTTTCATCTGCCACTGTAGGTGCATAACCTCCAAAATTGTTTGTATAGCCTAATAGTAAATGTCCTTAAGCTGAGTGATAATAACCTTCATAAATTTCAAATGAAGATTATGAAAACACTGTTATTGCTTTAGTATTTGTGACTTGATTTGCAAAGTTTATTGATAGATAATGAAGCTCCATTGAATTTTACAAGGTATATATTGCCTCTAATGTTGAAGATGATCCTCCTTTTAGATAGATGCATTTCCCATAGTTTAAGGGCATAGCTATTTTTATGCTTGTTAGAATTGAGATCAAAAGCACCTGAAAAACAGAGAGTCGTTATTATTCTAAACCATTTATTACAATGGAGTAGCTTGTATAAAACCAATCAGTTAAGAGATCGGATTGTCTATCTATATTATAGATCCTAGCCTCAGTCTAGCCACTCTCTGGAGTAAATTAGAAGTGTTAATTAAGCTCATTATTGAAGTCAATTTTTACAATATTGGCAACAAGTACAGTCCCGCTTGTCAAATATCCTCCAACAAATGCATTACCCTAATTATAAGTATAAAATGCCAATGGGTGGCCAATAGAGTTTAGCTAGAGTGAATAGTATCCTTAAGTCCACCCATAAATAGTAAGTATTAGATAGAGGTTTGATTGGGTTTATAATCCTATAAAAGCATTGTTACTATTAACTGCTATTCAACTTAGTGATGTTACTTTTCCATAATTCGTAAGCTCTGAATATTAATAAATTATAGAACCGTCAACTGACGACAATCTAAAGAGTGTTAGTTATGGGTTATCCGTTAATGCTACTATTTGGCTATCACTTTGAAAGAATTTGACTGATTAAAATGAGGTTCCAACTTAATTTATAGTTTTGCTCCATTTATATATGTTACCTTGCAATATATACCCAATAATGGGCTATTACTGATTTTACTATATTTACAATATATCTTTATCCTTTGTGTAGCCACCAACTACAATATTGAACCCATCTGAAGTGAGATCAAATGATTTAAATACAGTTTCATCATTAATGCCCCCAAGTATCATTGGATAAGTAGTATAGGGGCATGAGTTTGCAGTAGCTTAAATGAATAAATTGCAAAAGACAATGCAAATAAACATCAACTTTATGATTGATAGCTTTGAATTGTTACAATGTTTCTGTCTGGTAAATTCTAATTACTAAGTCCTTTTAAGGTAGTAATCAATTATTGCTAGAGAGATTTAACAACTATAGGAAGTTTAATCAGGTCTCTGAGACGAATCATTCAAATAGATTAAAACCATCGCCTAAATTTTATAATTTACTAAAGACTCTTTAATCTTAATTTACTTTTGAACAAACAAAATTAAATAAAATCATAATCATAATCATTTTATGCTACATTTTACTATAAAAAATTTCAATTATAACTGGCTTGCAGGGGTTTTGGGGTTTTGGGG